TGGGTGCACACTGTCCCTCTCTCCTACTTACCTGGTGGTGGTGAAGCCCCACATCCAGAGCACATTAAACACTGATATTACAAATGCTATTTCACATTCCTCATGCTCTTTCATACATGCCACCAGCCTCAGCTTCTCAAGATGATTTCTGTCCATCTGTTCTGTTTTTACAGGGACATGGTATCATGTTGCCTCTGTTTGCTCCTTCCCTTTGTCCTGTTTGTTGAGGTCTATGCCTGTTTTTCATCTGAAGCTTACAAAAGAGTCCAGGTCTGAGTCATGGACTAGTCATACATTGGAACTGAGCCTCCTACATTCCCTTGGCCTTTATTTTTGGAATGGGGTCTGCATGCTAGAACACTATGGCTAAATATTAAATAACCACAGCTGTCATGGACAGATTCTTAAAGAAAGTATTCAGATGAAACCAAATCAGTTTTTAGTAATTCTCATTTTTAAACTAAAGGCAATTCTAAAACCAAATTCATTAAAAAGAATGAAAATTCAAACATTTAATTTAAAAGTTGCAAGCATCAGAATGGAACATTTTACAGAATTAAAATACATTCACAAAATACTTCACTGTCACCAAAATTATAGAGGTTTCGCCCAACATTGCGCCTGAAAAATGTATATGAGCAGTACTGCCAGATGCTCTCCTACCAGATTTCAAAAGTGAGTAACATATCTTGCAGTAGTTTATGTTTCTTTCAGACCTAAAACAAATAATGTGAAAACAATCTAAGCTTTCATGTCTTTATGCTTTTACTCTGGTTGATATAGAGAACAGCACAAAATATTCTGAGCACCCTGAAGACTTAGAAACTAGCAAGCAAACAAAAGAAGCCCAGAACTGTTAATATGACTGTTCTCTTTACTGCTGTTGCTGTATTGGTTACTTAGGGAGAGGGGTTTCTCAGCAATTCACTGCAGTGTCTGCTCTTGTGCTTGTTCACTCTCTCCACCCAAGACTTCAAGTTATGTTGTCCATGGTTATGTTACATTAAGCAATACTGGCTCCCACATAATGCTGCTCTTGGGCCAGCAAAACACTTCTTACAGCAGCCTCAGGCCAACCCACAGATCTTCAGCTGAGGAGCTGTCAAAAGATGACTCCAGCGCAGAGAAGATAACGTGGAACAAAGTTTACAAAGCAGTTTAGAGAAAGAAATGTCAGGAAGCAACAAAAAAAGAAGAATCTGAATCCTTTTTCTTTTTGAGGTAGAAGTCCTCCTCCTCACATCTGAAGCTTACAGGCAGATTTCTGCTTCCTGGCATATCTGGTTAAAAAAATAAAAATCTAAGTATGACATCTGAGCATACATGTAATACAAGTTCTAATAAGATTCGGGTTTATTACTTGCCTTAACTTTCACCAAACTCTTTGTTAACAACAACAATAGAAAGTAATACTAAACATAGTAACCTCCACATTTTTTAGTCTTAGGTACCAATCCTGTCTCCAGTGCTGCAGACTGGGACATATCTGGAGGACCCGATCCACTTGTCTCCAACAGACATCCTGGGAACTCCCTGAACTGGAACATTTGAAAAGCACTGTTGGTAGAAGCAAGGGATCTACTAACTTCATCTTTCTAAATAGATACTGATAGCAGATTTAAATTTAGCATACGTGCAGAAGCCTTTTGCATTTTTTTGGCGACAAAACAGAATAAAAAATACTTTTGTGTCCTCAGGAGAATAAAAAATAAGGGAACAAACGGTATGAAAGGCAAACAGAAATGCTAACTCGTAGATGACTTGCCTGGTTAGTCATTTTCAATAGACGTAACAAAGATGATAATCCAAGAAAGCATTGGATGAAGTACAGGTAGTTTTGCTGGACCTTCAAAACTCATCTGTTTAAATTGGAGGGTTTTTTTGTTGTGAGTTGGTTTTGTTGTTTTCGGGTGGTTTTTTTGTGGAAACTTGAACTAAGAGGCAGAAGCAGTGTGAATTTATTGCAAGTGAAAAGTCATACAGCTTTCTTTTAGCCTCTCCTGGGCACTAACCCTTCAGATGTCCTAGGATTTAGACTCTCAAAGATTTCATTTCCTGTTTCCCAGGCATTGGAAAAAGGCAACAAGGTGAGACGAATGAACTCAAATATCTCTTAGAAATCAAACAACTTCTGAAGCAGAGATGCAGAAGTAAAACAAAATGTACTTTTGCTTTAGGGTTTTTCTCTACACTAGTTTTGATTTTTTTTTCTTTTCATTGTGGTCCCTCGTTTCCCCACCCAGACAAAATGAAGCCATGACAACATGGAAATCCCCTGAGCAGTACAGCTCTGATAATAAGATTGTTCAGGTTCAAGAAAAATATTATGTCTGAAAAGACTTTTTCTTTTCATTTGCTCCAACTGAAACAGGAAAAAAGAAAAAAAAAAGATCAAAGTGATAGCCCACTCAATTATAAACAAGGCAAATTTAAAGTGAGAAGGTGTCATTTCTGGATAGCGGTCAATTTGCACAGGAGAACCCTCCTTTAAAGACATTTCTAGCTGAAAATGAGGTAGAAATTAGCCTGAGGGTTTCTACAAGGATATAGTATTGAAGAGTATGAAGAAAGGTGTTGAAATTCTTTACTAAACTTCTCTAAAGCAAGCAAGGGGTAGGCCTTAGTGATGTAAAGTCGTGGGGGCCCAACCTCACTAATTCAAGTTTGGCTGCAATGAGCTTGGATCAATCACAGAAAACTCGGGAGAGAGAGACGAGGACAAACTCCTGCTAAAGTTCCACCAGCTGACTCAGAAAGAGAGTGTTTCTTGGACGGATATTATGAGAATTTGGCAGTGACCCAAATAATTCTGTAGGTGAAGTCAGTCTCTTGACTGAGGGTCAGTCAGGCCATGGTGGTGCCAGCGTCAGTGGCTCCGTGCCCCCCACACCATGTCCAGCTCCTGCTCTGCTTTGTGTGGGTGGTCACTGTGGCCTGGCAGGTCCCTCTCCTGTTTGTGGGTGGGAGGTATCATAGAGGTCAGCCAAGCAGATATCTACTCCTGCCACCCCCTGGGCTCTTTTTAAATTCAGTGGAGAGAAATAAATATATTTCGAGGTTTAGACTTCATCTTTTTAATGTCTATTTTGGCATGAGTTGAATCATGTTGTTCACTGGCCAGACATAGGCGCAGCATGAAGAGTTTTAACATGTAAATGCCTGCACACTGGCCAGTGAACCCAAACCCATTCTTCTGTGTCTACCTAGGCTTAGTGCATCGTCAGGGAACGCTTCGGTGGGGAGCCACAGGGTCCTACTACAAGGAGGGGCTTGATGCAGATATTTGACATGCCCATCTTCCAGGCAGTCTCCTTGAAATCTTGTGGAAAGGGAGTAATTTCTTCCCATTAGAAAAGGGCAGGGGAGCCCAGAAGCAACACCTTGACAGCCCACTGCCCCCAGCTTTGGGTAGCAAGTGACATTGCAGGACAGCCCTTGATGTTCTGGCAAGGCCACTCTTCTGGACACAAGTCCTGAACTTTCATCACTTTGGTGAGCATTTTGAATTAGTTGCTTGCAAATGAGAAAACTGATGTGGCTTCCATATTGAGCCTTCTTATTGTAATGTCATCACTTTTCTGTTTGCTTGGGCACTGTTACTAACTTTGCCCTCAGTTTCCTTTACGCCTCCAACCTAAAGCTTTTTTTGGTGCAGCCAGGCCTGCGCCAGAACTTGCTCTTCTCTTTCAGGTCTTCAGCTCACTTGTAGTTAGCCACATCAGTCAGCTGTGTGCACGGCTCTGCTTTACGATCTGGTGTGCGTTGGTGTTTACAGCCACAGAAACTGTGCAAAGGAAATATTTAACACCTCTTTATCTCTCGCTTTCTGCCTTTGCTTTGTCCAAAGCCTGAACAAATGTGAGATGCGCCACTTTGTTCTCAGGAGCCAGGTTTTGCAGGATTAGTCTTTTAAATCACAGCTTTTCTGGGTCAGCACTGCCTTATGCGGAACTTCATAGAATCACAGCAGGTTTCAGGCTAAAAGGGACTTTTGAAGATTATCTAGTCTCAACCCACCTGCATGGGCAGGGACACCTTCCACTAGACCATGTTACTCAAAGCCCCATCCAACCTGACCTTGAACACTTCCAGGGATGAGGCATCCACAGCTTCTCTGGGCAGCCTGTGCCAGGACTTCATCATCCTCACAGTAAAGAATTTCTTCTCTATGTCCAATCTAAATCTATCCTCTTTTAGTTTAAAATTGTTGCACCTCGTCCTGTCACTACAGGTCTTGGTGAGTAATTTCTCTCCATCTTTCTTATGAGCATCCTTTATATATTGAAAGGCCACCACAATAAAGTCTCCCTGGAGCCTTCTCTTCTCTGAGCTGAACAATCCCAACTGTCTCGGCCAGTCTGCGCAGGAGAGGTATTCCATCCCTCTCATCATCTTAGTGGCCCTCCTCTGGAATTGGTTCAACATGTCCGTGTCCTTCTTATGTTGGGGACCACAGGGCTGAATGCAGTACTCCAGGCAGGATCTCAAAAAGTAAAGAATCAACTCCCTTGAGCTGCTGGCAGTGCTGCTTTTGACCAATAGTTAAAGAATATACAAAAGCAATCACACTTAATGTTTCATACCCGGAAGATTTTTCTTCCTTGGACCTGTGCACCTCTGTGGAGAGTAAAGTGGATGCAAGGGCTAAACCATGCAATCAGGGAAACCAGCAGCACAAATCACAGTAGCTGAGTCAAGAGCACTGTCCATGAAACTTGCTCCCTTCTCGCTGGACTTTACCAACTTTACCAGGTTTGCCCAAAGAGGTTGACAGGCCTGATCCAGAAGGTCCTTAGTTTTGAAGTGGGGAAGCCAGTTTCAAAGTAAAAGCTCAGCGATTATCTTCAGGCTGGCTTCCTGCCCTCTGCCACCAGCCATCCTCTGCGTAGGCATGTTTACATTTCCCCTCGCCTGAGGTCTCTCTGTCGGGCGATAGGTTTGCTCAGCGCCGGGTATAAAGGCAGCGAGTGTGGGTTTCGCACACACATGCACTGCACACATGCAGTGTGCTCAGAATGACACAGCCCAGTACAGTGTTGAGCATTTTTGCCATGTTTCTTCACACCACATTTGGGGAAAGTGGTTGCACCTCAGCAGACGGTGATGGTGAGTCATTTCATCTTCATCTTTCCACTCCTCTGTGATCTTGAAAAACCTCAGTTAAGAGCTCCAAAATACAACTGCTGGGTTAATTATGTTCATGTTTTAACTTCCAGTCTCTCTTTCAGTGCCAGAACTTGAGGTGGAGGTGGAGCTGGAGGATACCTATTTAATTTTATCCCCAAATCTGCTGTCCTTATAAATCCTTATATGAACTGAGGGAGATCATAACTGTATGCACAGGGCATGCAGGGTCAGACCTGTTAATCCTCTCTTGTTGTATCTAGTGCTCATGTGAGGACATATGCCTGGGAGCAGGGAACCACTTCACCCTTCTTCAGCTCATGGTCACTCTGAGTTGCCATTGGAGAGGGGTGAGATTCTGGGCTTTTTTTCTCTTGGCAGTTTCCTCCAAATAAAATGTCTTCATGTAACTCAAACTTGGCCGAAACTGTTCCACTCTAAAAGCCAAACCTTTACATTTTCTTTAAGCCGTTACATCAGGTGTGATCTGAGGGGTAGTTTCGGTCTCCCTCATAGTACAGCTGATGCAGCAACTCAGCCAGGGTGTTCTCACAGGCCATTACTAGTAGCCTTCATTCCTTACTCAGCAAATAATTATAAATTATTGTAGATTTCATTATCTCATTTAGAGAAGTGAAAATTATCTAGCAGCATCAAGATCAAATGCAAAACTCTAAAAAGTAGCAATAAAACTACTGTTTCAGGCTGCTGTTCCTTTTCTCAAAAGGGAGATGGAAAATATGATTTAGAGATTCAGTCCCAGATCTGCTAAACTCTTATTTGTCTGATACTAAATAAACAGCAGTGACAGAGTTTGTGCACTATGCCTGAAGGACATGGACATTTGCTAAGTAGTAGTTTAGAGCTCCATTGTTTGGGGACAAGAGTTTTTGGCTTTTAGAAAGAGAATGGCTGTGTTCCTATGAGTTAGGGAATCTCATTTTTCCCTGGGTGTCCTGTACTGCACATGTAACATATGTGTGTGTAGACAATTGTACATATATACATAGATAAGATATGCATGACAGGTTTTTTAATTAAAAGAAAAGAGGGTCTGGCTCAGAACTGCATCTAACCACCTTGGGTTTTTTATTTGCCTTTTATCCATACAATCTGCAGCTGCTTAGAGGCAGCTTTGGCAAGCAGCTATGGTGATGAATGTTCAATGCTAGTGATTTATTGTTGGTGTCATTGAAATCTTCAAGGCTTCCCAAAAGCAGATATGATCAGACCTTTACATGTTTTGTCACTATCTCCAGTAAATCATCATTTACTTAGAATTAAAGACAAATAGATTCAGAAAATTCCTACTGAGCAATTATCAGCTTTTATGATTTCTTTGTGAATCTCCTAGGTTTGGCCAACAAACTAATCAATCCAGGGTAAAATCACCCTGGTAAAATCGACAGATGCTCGATTTTCACTCTTTGCCTTTCTGACTCACCCCACCTTCTGACAAAGTGCCACCCACCAACTTGGGTATGAGCTTACGCTTATGGGCACTCTTATGGGCAGAGGAGGGAAAAGCTAATAATGGCAGCACATGTCTCCTTGTCCTCCTCTTTTTTGAGCCTCTCAAGCACTGCCCCCCCAGCCTGGCAGAAGTGGTGGAGGCCCCCAAAAGGCCTGAGAGGGCTACAAGCAGAGCTAAGAAAGGGAAGCCAGGGAGGGGCAGGAGGGCATGGGTAGGGGGAGCAGGAGGCAGCAGGCCTGTGGTGTCCCATGGCTTCAGTGGTCCTGCTACCCACACTGGTATGGTTTGTCCAACCCACATCGAAACTGTTGTGATTAAAATGAGTTCTGCCTGAATCACATCAGTGCTGAAGATCCCACATTATTCTGTTCATGGAGAAAGTCACTTAGTTGACTTTGGAAATTTGGCCACTGAGTCGTCAGTGCTTAACAGTGCCTTCAGTTTCACACGTTGTTGTCAGTCCTGGTGGCTTTAGAGCTTGAAGCTGAAGCATGTCCATAGCCTCTGCTAACACTCTTGGTAAAGGCTCCTGAGATTCCTGCTGTAGTTTGAACCATCCTGTTGGATGTTGTCCAAACTCATTTCTGTGAAGGACCTGTCATGGCTGTAGCTATGATAGCAGCTTTTATCCCAGCAGAATCATTCCCTTCCGAGCCCTGCCTTGATTTCAGCAGAGCTGGGCTCATGGCTCTGCCTCATCTGGGCTTCTCAAGGCAAGTATTGTAATCTTGTAAATTTTTAATTGAGTGAAGAGTCCTTAGCGGTATGAGTCATGTCAGAGTCATCAAAACCATTCACATAGCAAACACATTTGCGCATGGTGGTTCTGAGGTTTAGGGAAGAATTATGACTGAAGCTGCATGCATACTTATGTCAGACAAAAAAATTAGTCAGCCCATGGAAAAACCATAGCAGAAAACACACTTGAAATTCCTTACATCACACTATTGATGAGATTTAATTACCATATACTCTACGGTTAGTATGTTATTTCCATGAATAAGGAACCATGTAATCACAATGTGGAAGTTCAGTGTCAAAGAGGTAAAGTAAGCTTTCCTTCCAGTGTGCCACCAAAGCTGTGGTGTGTTGGTTAAGCCTTAAATGGTTCTTTGAACTGCAAGATTAAATCTTTATTTTCATTTTGCAACCAGCCTGATAGAGAATGAATTCCAATTTCTGTAACTTTTCAGCAAAGGAGGAGTGGGCAGCTGAAAGGTTTTTTTATGATAAGCCATTTATTAATAGGATGATGAATTAATTTATTAAGAGGATGATTATCTGTTTTGTGTATTTTTGTAAAATCTGTTTTATGTAGTTTGCGTATACAGAGAGCACCAAGCAGTCTTATAGAAAGGAGGATTAGTCATCCTAATCTATAAATTTTAATATTGCCTGGAGTATACATTAACAAGACTCCTGGCAGTTGCAAGTAAAATCTCAGGCTTAAAATGTGACATAACTGTGCATGTCAGCTTTGGGTGTACACATCTATATGAAATATGGGGGGGTTGTCCATTTTAGACAGATTCATTTGAGCTTACTTGTTATCTCACGAGTTTTGAATATACATACATTTATACGCCCTCACTTCTACCCACAAATATGCAACTCTATGTGGTACAGGTTTCTGTACATGTATGCCTGCCCATGTGGCTGCACTGGACAAGACTCTCAACTGTGTGAAACTGCTGCAAGGTTTACTCTAGAGTTGTGCTGACTTCTGTGTCTCTCTCTTGAATACAGTGGTCAAATGCTGAGGCTTTCTGTGCTGCACAGGTTCTCCCTTCAAAGCAGCAACTCTAGTAGAAGACACTGCATTCCTTGTCCTTCAGGGAGATTTGGGCTCCCAGGGCTGCAGTGAGAAGACCAGTAATAATTTCTTAGCGCTGGCTGCTCATGGTGACAAATGGCACTAAATCTTACCTCAGAGGGCATAGATCTGCCTGTGGGTTCTGCATTAGTGCAGCATCAGATGCTCCCATCCCTTCTGCTACCCATCTTGGGTGCTGGTGGCAGCAGTCCCCTTCGTAGCCTCTGCCTGTACTGCTTTTGTGTGTTTCTCTGCATTCTTGAGTGACTTCTGAATTTCTTCTCTTACTCAAAACCCCTCAGATGCAGCTCAGCTCTGAGGTCAGAAAGAAGCGCTGCTGATGCTCTTGACTTGCATTTTAAAGCAATCAAAAAACTCTCCTCTGCTTCCTCCCTGCAGTCAAACCATATGGCTTTGGGATCTTCAGATATGCTTCCATGCTGGACAAGGTCTGGGTCTCCCTGCATGCTGTCAGGATTGTCCAGGGTTCATAGGAAATCACAATTTGGACTATAAATCACAGTATCTGAACAGATGATCACACCTCAGTGATCTAATTGGATTACAGCAGAATTGACCATCATTTTTTCTGGGAGGGATTTTCCATTGGAAACATTTCAATGTTTCAGTATTTCCCCGTTGTGTTTGTGAGTGTGAGTCACTGATATCTTCAGAGCAGACAGTGATAGGACAAGGGGGAAGGGTTTTAAACTAAAAGTGAAGATGTTTAGATTAGATTTTAGGAGGAAATCCTTTACTCAGAGGGCAGTGAGGCACTGGAACAAGCTGCCCAAAGTAGTTGTGGATGCCCCAAATCTGGAAGTGTTCAAGGCCAGTTTGGAGCAATCCGGTCTATTGGGTGGCATTCTTGCCCATGGCAGAGGGGTTGGAATGAGATGATTTTTAAGGTCCCTTCCAATCCACTCATTCTACTATTCGATTCTTTTCTCACTGCATCAGGTGTCTCACATGGCAAGGACATATATGAGGAATGGGTAGCAGAACACTGATCAAGCATAGTCCCTGGACACAAGGAAGAGGTTTATGTGAAAGAAGACAGAGGCATTCCTGCCCCAAGGGTCCACTCAAGGGGTCATGGCAATTACCCTTTTCCCATCCACTCTGTGTGGTGGATGATATTTCATGAAGTGAGGCTGAAGTTGCAGTTTCTGCTGGAGAGGACTCCTCTCAGAAGCATCAGTTTTTGCGTCACTGACCTTATACCTGTCAAGTGTAGGACTCAAGACTTACACTCTTAGTCAAATCATGATTGTGTTATTACTCATTGAAGCAAATTGGCAGGAAATCACGCATTCTGGCAGCAAGTCTGAGCTTTCCCTCTTGAGCCCAAATTTGTGACATTTCAGAAAACTGTTCAGTACAATCAAAATGGGGCTTAGTTGCCTCATGGCACCAAAGTACTCTTGCAAGTGGGTGGGCTTCACTGTCATGGAGGGAGAGCAACCTTGGAAGGTGCAAATGGATTTAACTTCATTTTAAATAAGGTTTTTTTTCTTCTTACTAAACAGGTGGGTTGATCCTCTTCCTTTTAGGCAATCACATGAAGCAACAACCTCCTATACAATGCAGCTGCAAATCCAATACACTCTCAGGTTTGCTTCAGTAACATCCTGTGAATCTCTCCTTAGGGACTCTTGGAGACGATGAACCAGACAATTTTGACATTGATTGCTTCAGCCAGCTGGACATTAAGGACCCCTTTAGCAGCCTGACCTGCAATTTTACTGAGCTGCCTCCTCACAACACTAACTATACCCTGTCTCTGTGGTAAGTGCTGTCAGTCTGTCCTTTGGTAAACTTCTGGGAAGTGAAATCCTGAGCACTAGTGAGTCATGTTGCCACATGCTGGGAAACAGGGACAGCAGAGCTAGACAAAATCCTTATTCATACTGTTTTGCCAAGTTTGAATACTATATTCAGCAAGGAAGAAGAGTTTACTGAAATAGAACATAACTCCCTTATAAGAAAAAAAAAGAGCTGGAAGGGTCTTTAAAGGGGATTATAACATCTCCAACAGTTCTATCTTGCCTCTGTTGTTCTGGAACACCTGTAATTATGAATGCAGCCCAGCATGAACTGAGAACTTTTTCATTTAAATTAAATGATATTTGAAAAAAACCCTCAAACCTAGCCTTTAAGAACTGAAAAGTAAAAAATGTTTGTGAAGACACAGATCCTTACCACAGGAAGTTCTTTAGCAAGAAGGTTAATTTTCCACATCACAGGAAATGTCTTTATCTAGGCTAAGACTAAACTAAGTTATTGTCTTTGGACACACAGACATGCAAAAAACACACTAGAACAAGTATGCAAAACCCCAACAGTTACCAAACACATCAGTCATCTCCACTTCTTATCCAGGCCTTGAAACTCTTTCCACTCTTTTTTTTCACTGTTGCACCTACCTGAAGAAGCTCAGATTTTGTTTCTTTAGCATACTTCTGCTCTTCCCTTTTCCTGAAAGGGAAAGTTCTGTGACGGCAAGCAAAAGAAGTGGATTTTTTTGTAACTCTTGTTATTCTAATCATTAATTATTTCCTTTTTTTTGTCCCCCCACATAATTTATTAGAATTTTTCTATTTCATGGGATTTATTATGGATTTTGGCTGAAATTTTATGACAGTCCTCAAACATGGGAGCCACAGAGATGAGAAAACACAGCTCTGAAACTGCCATATGACTCCTTCATGGCCAGGCTGACTGTTGACCCTGTATCTGCTACCACTTAAATCAATAAGAAATTTTTCTTTATCTTCACTGAGTACAAAACCTATTGCCCTATGTTTAAAAACGGCAGCAGTAAGATAATTTTTAAAGATAAAAATATTTTAACACGTATATCTCTAATTAAATAATAATTTTTTTTCCTTGAGAGCTCCGTGACTCTTAATGTGATTCATATCACTTGATTATTGTGCTCGAAGACCACAAGGAAAAAAACTGTCAGTCTCCCAAACTCCTTATTTGCATGGCATTTTCTCTTATTTCATACAGAGTCTCACTTCAGTTGAAGTGAAATGGGCAATCAGGATTCATCCCTTATAGTAAGTAGTTAATTTATAGTAAGACTGAGAAGAAATTAATGTCATATCACTTTGGCCAACAGTACCAAGGAAGACAACAAGTACATGTGCAACAACATGAAGAAACAGGAAGATGCGTACTTCTTACAGTTCACTGATATACTCTCAAATAGAGACCTTTGTGTGTTCTCTGAGACAAAGAGAAGAGTCTGCAGGAGTCTGGTTGTGACTCACATTGGTAAGACACTTAACATCTTGGATATTTTTAAGATATAGGGGTTATCGGGGGCAAAAATAGCCCAGCACAAAGCCTAAGCATCTGGACGATATAGAGGTAGTATAAAGGAGTGTCTTAGCAGGATTGGGGTGTTGTCAGAATGTGGTGTTTCCCTTGGTTCAAAGCTAAACAAGATTAAGCTCTGTTCAAAATGTGCAGCTGAACTCTAGCTTATTGTGACACTCTGCCTAGACCTGGGCATAGACCAAATCCCCTCCATTGGTGCAGCAGCTGTTCCTAAGTGTAGATAAACTGTCAAGCAGGGACATCTTGTTCATCTCTTACTAGGGATTATGCAGTTTTGGGACTGACCACCCCATGTACAACATGAGCTCAGTAGCACAGGGACCACAAGGTTGCAAGATCTAACTTTTCACATCTTGTATTGTGGTGCATTCTGTTGTCTGAACAAGGTGACCCTGCACTGAGAATCCATGAATGGCCTTGTCCCCAACTGTGGACCTGAGCCAAGGAATAGGAAACTCAAGAGGAAGAGGGTGTCCATAGAGTCTACCCCTCTTGGGAACTGGTCTCATTCCAGGTCTGCAGAGAAGCCCATGTAGGACAGATTCTTCTCTGTTCTTCTCTGGTGCCGGATGGCTTTGTCTTCCATTGGAGTAGGCACTGCAACATCCTTCTCCTGTGAAACATTTTTGCCTCAGTTCAATAGCTTTGTAATAATCTTACACTACGTCTCAGTTTATGGGCCAGCCTGGACCATCTCTGGTGGTTCCTACTCTAGAAACTGTGGGATCTGCATGGAAGGACTGAGTATTTGGGGCTTGTAGAAGCAGTGAGCACAGTTTATGGCTATATGCGTTTTCCTGAGAGTGGCCATTCGCATTTCCATTCCTGTGAGAGGTGATGCACTTTACAAGCTGAATTCAGGAAGCTTCAGTGTCACAGCAAAGGTCCCTAAAGATCTCAAGCACATCCAGCTCAGGTTGTCTGGGGACAGTCCTGAGGGCTGCGTATCAGACTTGATGTACTTGCACAGATGGCCTTTGACCCAGTGTCCTGCAGACCAGGTTGGGTTCATAGCGAGGGTCTGGAGCCACAGCCCACTCTGCTCTAACACTGTCAGACTTTGTCCCTTCCTCAGACCCACTGCCCTCACAGCTAGCCCCAGTGGTTCCTGTACCCAGGAACCTTTGTTGCCCAGTGCCTTCCTCCCAGGTGGGTTTTGCAATGGGGCCTCTATCTCAGAGCACTGGTTAGAGGGACTGAATTCCAGGCCTTCAAGCAGTGCTACCACAGGGGTGGGCATGCTCAGGAATTGCTTTCAAAGGCTAAATGTCACATCCCTCACAAGCACCTTCCGTACTAGTCAAACTGCTGCTTCAGCAGGCCAAAACCAAGCCCCTTGCAGGATCAGGGTGTAAGGATGAGCTGAGGCTTAGCATGCCTGGCCCAGAACAGCCCTTGCTTGCTCAGGATAGGTCACCCTGCAGGGGCTTTGAGTTGAAGCGGAATTTTTTTTTACTTTTCAAGACCTATTTTCTAGTAACATTATTCGACTCCTGTTGTATCCTTGTTTGTTGTCATTTGCAGTTAAGCCGGAAGTGCCATTTGCTATAAACATCACTTATCAAAGGGAGGCAAATGAATATCTTATTCGTTACCGTACACCACACTCAGGGAAGAAATACCTAGAGGGCAAATTAATGCACCAAACGGCCTATCGGCAGAAAGAAGGTACTTGGAAGGTAAGTGATGATGTATTTCTGTGGTTTGCACTAAATTCCGAAATTAAACATTATCAAAATTACCAGTAGCATGTAAATATTCTCCGATCTGCATTTCTGCAGTTCTCCAGCTGAAAACTTGGAAAAGTGCAATGTTTGGCACTTGTAAATTTCGTGAGTCAAAACAATTTGGGCTAGCAGCACCCTTCTCAGTTAGACACTCTGGGTTAACAAAGTTTCATTCATTTATGTTTTGCAGTGGGAAGAAAAGACATAATGTGGTGAAGCATTCTAAGTGTTTCGATGGTTTGGTTTTTGCTGTGGTACTTTTGCTCTTATTTTCTGTGCTCATCAGCCAGTAAAATGTATGACCTCTTTTCTTGTTTAGCAAGTTTCTTCACATTCCCCTTTTCACTGAGTCTTTCCAGGCTTTGGGTGCGGCCCTGCAGCTCTTCCACCCTCAGACTCCTTGAGGCTACAGCTGCTTGCAAACTGGGTCTGGTGTGGGCTGCCCAGCTGCAGGGACATATGTGTCCCTGTCACAAAGGCAGCCATGCAAATACAAGTCACAAAAGCATGGGCTACACCTGTTTTTTATGGAGGGAACACAGTGTTGTCCACAGTTTTTACGGAGGGAACAAACAGGATTTGTTACACAGTGTGCAATGAGCCAATAATGACACGAAAGAGAGAGACATTGATTATTTGTTTCAGAACTGTGCAAGCCTGGATGCCCGGTGGTATTCCACAAATCAAGCAGCCAACTATAAAAACTTTTAACTATTTTATATTACCCTTTTACTATATTATTATATACTACATTACTACACAGTATGTTACTACAGATTTTAGCAAACAAAGGAATTAGTGTTTGTTGACTACAAGTTACATAGTTCTTTTATTAATTAGTATTCTATCTTCTATTGGTCAATAATTCTCTCGCTTCTCCTGTTAATTAGTCTGTGTGTTCAATCTTTCTCTTATTCTAGGTTGGTGGGTTTCTTGGGTTAGTTGCTTGTGACTTGGTGGTCATGATCTGGCCCTGCTGGAAATAGCTTTTACCCAGCTGGAGCTAATTTCAGCACTGTTGCTGAGTTGTTTTTCCCAGTTTCTTCCTTATCTTGGGAGTTCTGCCAGATGTCCTTGTGGCTGTAAATTCTGCATTCTTTGTGTCCACTATCAGTGGTACATCCTTCTTTTCAGGCTTTGTTAACCTCCTCCTAAATCTGAGATAATTCAAACATACCAAGCCCTAAGTCATAACAAGGCAATTCTACCAACAAGTTTTTCTAACACCTGGGTATCACTTAGAGCTTGTTAGCTGTCTGTTTCACGGATTATGTCTCCTTTCTCGTTGATTAGGCCTGAAAACATACAAAGATCAAAGGACAACCTTTCTTAAGAAAGTTTTACATGCTCCACATTTTGCAAACACAGGAGAACTGTAACTAGAAGGAGGAAAAAAAGGGGGGGATTCAGGCAGCAAAATATATTGAAATGAAGAGCACCAGAGCTGTACTGTGGGATTTCAGCTTCAGAGTTCCCTGTAACTGCTCTTTCAGAAGTTGTCTTTTTCTACTGCACCAATGTATTTTTTCACCTTTCTCTCTTCTGAGCCTTCCTAGGGAAGCACGTATTTCCCACTGCAGTGTCGACAGTAGCAAAGCACAGTTGATAGTCCCAGCTGTTTTCCAAAGAACTTTTACCTAGCATTTTGTCTTCTTGTCAATACTGTCTGGCATACCTTGCTGTTAAACTAGGTTGATGCCCTGATAAACACCTGTGTAGCAACAAAAGACATGGAACAAACAGCGCAATATTGCAGGGATGCACCTGATCTCACACATTTTGCTGAAACTCAAAGATAATTCTCCATTGTCTGCTGGAAAAATAACTGGGGTTTTTTGTGTGTTTAGACAATAGAATCGCCACACGATCACGTAAGATTGTTGGGACAAAATCTCGAAAATAATGCTTCGTATGAGGTGAAAGTACGTTCCCAGCCCAACGGAAAATTTTTTAAGGGCACATGGAGTGAGTGGAGCACTTCCAAGAGCTTCAGGACAGCAAGAGAGCAGCACCCCACAGAGAGCTGTAAGGGCAGAAAATGTTTCGGTCTACCTGAAGGAAAGCAGAGCTGGGAGTCCTGGGCTCCCTGGACACCCTCAGCAGCAGGAGGGATGAGAGCATGGGGAGGGAAGATACCACAACCACAACAGAGTGAGCCCTCACAGACGCCAGGCACCCCGAGGAGGGGACTCAGAATGCAGCTGTATTGCTCTGGACTGGGGCTGACCCTCCACGTGAATTTAAATCTCACTCACGGGCAATAAATTCAGAGGAGTTGCTGCTATAAGCGCAGGAGGGGGTGGGTGCAGAGGGAGCTGAAGGCTGATTCTCTGTTTGCTGCCAGCTGGCTTGCAGGAGAAGGAAGAGCTTGCACTGAGTGTTTTGAGTAAGGCACAAAGAGCAGTGAAACACGACCTGTTTCAGCGCCCTGGATTTGTGTGCAAACATGGCACTTTAATCACAATCACAACACCGGCTAAAATCTCATCATTGCACTTGTAAATGTGAATAATCCTTGTAGTCCTTTGGGTCCCTTCAGTACCCGGAGGCACCTCAGCATTACGTGTGTTGGAAGTCATTTCAGTGCTGCTGTCAGGACACAGCAAGTGGTGGTTTCAGTGCACTGGAGGTGACAGCAGACTTCAAACTGCTTTAATCCAGTCTGGAAATCCAGTCTGGAGCTCAGCCAGGTGCTGATACTCTGGTAGCCTACCTTTTTCCTCCTCCAGGGAGACAGGAGAAATGGATCATTGCACCAGTTCAATGATAGGCAAGTGCAATTCTTGGAATTAATTTCCAATTTATGATCTGAAAAGACATCACAGTTACAATGGCTTAACAGTAAGACATTTACATGCATTAGCTGATATTCTTTGTTTTCCTTCAGATAGCAGCGTGATCGTGATTATACTCTCCATCCTGGGATTCATGCTGTGCATTGTTATGATTGCACTGATCATAATTTTTTGGGAAAACAGGTAATCTAACTCTCTTAATATCAGAAAAGGTGTTGGAAGCCAATCCTGTTCTGACAGTCTTACTGCTTTCCCTGCTGTACCTGTGAACTATCCACTCTCCATCTCTGGACCTCTCTATCACGCTGAAGGGAGGCCAAGAGCAGAAATGGGCAATACAGGAGATAGTGTTGGCAGGCAGAAGATGAACTGCCACTTTGAGCAGAGCTCAGTCTTGAGCCCAAAACACTGGGACTTTTGCAAGCCAAAGTCACTACAAAACATGTATAGAGTCAGTGTCCTGCTGGAGGCAGATTTGACTCAAAAGCAAGATCCAGAGCAAGAAAGCTACCTGCAGGTTTTTGTTAAGTCCCAAGAGGTGTGAAAACAGCATACCAGGGAAATTGACTTTTTCCCTTTCACAGGCTGAGTCAGCGGGGTGTTTGCTCTGCAGCACTTTCAGAAGCAGCAGGGCAGAGCCCTCTGCAAAAACAGCTTGATGGTGTCAGACACCAGCTCGGTCAGATCCACATCCAGCCAGCCATGTGGTGAAACCAGGCTCCACATCCTCCACCAAAGCAGTTACAGCAGAAGTGGGACTGGAGATAGATTCATTACCCAGGAAGTCCTTTGTCTGCATTGGGGTTTCTTTATGTATTTGCTACACAGCAATAGACAGATAACTGTAAATGCAATTTCAACCACACGGCTATATATACTCATAGGGCATTAAGAACTGACAAATTTAAGAAAATGAACAGATATGCAGATAATCTGGTGACACTAGAATCTAAAGTGAAAAAATTCAAGTTCAAATATAGAAGATGAATTCCTTGCAAGGCAGAAAGCCCAGGACTGTTCAATGGCTTTCAGAGCAGCCTGTCCACAACATCCACCTCAAGAGAGGTGGCTGTGTGGGAGCTGCTTTTTCGGAACACCATTTGGGCTGTGCTAACTTCTGTTATAGGTAAATAAACCAAATCAAAACTTAGCAGCAAAATTTATTGTGAGATTTATATAAAGTGCAGATAAGCAAATCAGCATGCTGGGTGGCCTGGAGAGACCCCTGCTCCCCACCGGCCCACAGGCCCCATAAAAATAAACAGCAACTTTTATACTTTTCCAACTCCCCCTCCCATAGTCACTTGTTAGCTCTTGATTGGGCTTGGGTTCGCGGGCTTCGTTCTGGTTGGTTCTGTTGTAGGCCCATTTCAAATGTCAGGGACTTTTCCATCAATAGCTTTAATAGCCCAATGTCCTTGGAGCTGAATATGGGAAGGTGTCCAGATGGTCCAGATGTTCTCCTTGGCTCTTTCTTTATCATGTCCATCCTTGACCCTCTGATCCTCGTTCTCTTCTTCTTTTCTAATGAGTAACTTAGACAATATTTTTAGAAAAGCAGGATATGGTGTGCATGCTCAATAAAGCAAGATACTCTATCTTTGCCAACTTGGGAACTGCCAGTTGCAGGACAGTCAACTTATAATAATAATACAGCAGTTAACTATTCTGCAGCTTACAACTCCCCAGTCCCAACCAAGCATTAGCTATAATATACAGAAAATACAATCTATATATTTTGACGAGTAAATTTTACCATTGCTTACTTATTACACTTCTGAGTTAAATATGGGGTTTGGCATCAGCCAAACCATGCCAAGAGCAATTTTAATCATTAAACATTTTAGACGCTGGAGTTATCTGCCCTAGTGCTGTTTTATTTGCAAGTACAGATGTAGCTTGAGATTTCTATTTCTTGCATTTTACTGTTGCTGGCAACCTGTACTTCTCTAACTTTGCTGTAAGTTTTGCTTATGTAAAACTGCAGCAAAAACAGTTGAGACTTTTGGATCCCAGACATTTCCATGTTAAAAAAAAAAAAGAGGGGTTTATATATGTGTGTATATTTACCCTCATATAGAGACACATAAATAAAATGAAATATATATTCATATACACATACAGTTTTATCACTGCAACATTGAATTTCAGTTGGACAATATTCTCTAGATGCATCCTGGGGGTATGCAGTAGAACAAACAACATGAGAACTTTGTTAATCAAGGAGTAAAAATAAGACCTGTGGGACAAGGTTACAGTACAGATATCTGAGGCACAAACAGCTGGCCAAGGCGTAGGACAATATGTTGTTCTTTGACTTAAGTAAACATGCAGCAGCAAATATCAGCAAATTTGTACTTTAACCACAGCATCTTCTTGCACTGGCAGAAACTGGTTTCACCACACAGAGCCCTGTTAACCCAGCTAGATGCAAACAAGCTCCTTGCCAGCACAATTTGCTGCTTTTCCAGTACTTAGTGAAGTGTCTTTCCTTAACTATGACAATTTGTGCACTCAAGAGAGCAATGGTGGGCTTTACAACTCCTCTTCTCCTGTCTGTTTTATTCTGTGACTTTTCTGTTGTTATTCTGGATAATGCAACCCAGCCCTAAAGCTTTGCGAGAATTAGTACCAGTGATGCAATATGAACCTCTGATACCTCAACATATCCCTCTTTTGCTGCTTTTTGTCTGCTGTTGCTGTTTCAGGATCAAGCCTACTGTATGGCCAAACCTTCCTGATCATAAAAAAACACTGGAGAAACTATGCAAGAAGCCAAAAAATGTATGTTCTTCCTCTGTTTTTTTCCACCTGAGTATAGAATGTCAGGAACAAAACTAACACTCATGAGAGACAATGCATGCATTTTCTGCACTAATTAGGACATCTTTCAGAAATTCTGCTACGTTTCACTGAAGAGAGCCCACAATTGCACAGGCAGATGCCAGCCAAGGGTATGGAAATAACAGACAATTCAAACAGTGGCTGAGCTTCAACTCACACAAAGTAATTACAGAGGGTTTGGGAACTTGATATATGAAGAAAGGCTGAAAGAATTAAAGTTTTTTAATAGAAACTGGATATAAGTAAAGAATCTTTCTTATGAGAATAATAAAATACTGTGTAGTTTGCCCAGAGGCAAGGTAGATTATCCTTTGGGGAAATGTTCAAGGCTTGTCTTGATAGGGCTCTGGATAACCCAACCCAGGTCACATTTCTCACACAAGGTTGGACTCCAGAGGTCTTTTCCAACCAAGATGCTTTGTTGATTCTGTGAAACTGTGATCAGAGGGCTGGATGGGGACCTTTTGCAAACATCCCTAGTGATGTCCACGTGCCCTTACATGGTCAGCAGAATCGTACATACACATGCAGTACATGAACTGCTCAGCCAGTTAAAAACCAGATGGGCAAACGCTACAAACCATAAAGTGTGGGTTTAACTTGTTGCATTAAAACTGTATGTCTAGTTCATTTTTTTCACAAAGAAAGTCATCAGTGCTGTTCTCTCCAGCTGGTACATTATTAGCATGTTCTTAATTTAACAGGAGGTCTCAGAAAACTCTCCCACCCCCTGTGCTCCCCAATGCAGGGATTTCTGATGTGTTTCAGAAAGTTATGGCAAACTTTTACTTCCTCTCTGCTAAGTTAAGAAGGTAAAACTGAAAAAAATTGCCTGGGTGGACACACTCAGTCCTGTGAAATGGCAGGCATGCAACAGATGGGTGTGTCAGAAAAGTCTCTGAGACTCCAGTTCCCACCATATCATGTAGAGTACAAAACACTTTGCAGCATAAACATGCTGCCTTCAGGAGGACACAGTATAGATCTAGATTAATAGGGAAAGAGTTTTTCAGCCATGTGACAGTTTATTCTCTGCTAACCTACTGTTCAGTGTGCTCAAGGTTACACCCAGAGTTAAAGAATACCCTTTTAAAAACAAATAAATTATCAAAGTACCTTTTCTCTTAAGCTATTACCCACTGTTAACTAACTGTGCTGTTCCCTTTGCCACACAGAATTTTGATATAAGCTTTAACCCAGAGAGTTTTGGTTATGTTCATATCCATAAAGTGGACGGTATTCAGGCAAAAGCTGAACTGGAAAATTTTCTGCAGCCATCAATTGCTCAAGAGACAAGTCTTCCAGAAAAATTCAGGAAGGGATCAGACCTGAAGATGATACCTGCGATGACAGACAAAAGCAACCTAAATCTGTCTGTGACTTATGGAGGCCTCTGGCCGGCTGAGGCCCCGCACAGACTCCTGGGCACAAGCCAGTTTGCAGTCACGGAAGGAAACTGCAGCTCCAGCACGTATGAGGTGTGCCACGGCAACAGCGTGCCCCTGCACAACAGCGAAGGTTCCAACCTTTCCTCTGCTCCTCCCCTGGATCCCTCTGGCCAGCCCAGTCCAGAGCCCCCAGATGATGACACTGTATCCCAGATGCTGCCTAACAGTGAAATGAGATCACCAAACAACGAGGAAGCCTATGTAACAATGTCCAGCTTCTACAAAATTCAGTAAACCTCGCAAGAACGACGACATGTCTTTTTTTTCCTCTAACACAAGCAGGACACTGAAGCTTTCTGTTTTGTTTTCCTGTATCCTGCGAGTTCCTGCCTCCTCCACTCACCCTGCTCACAGTGCAATGCTGTATCTGCAAGGAAGTCGGTTCTCCTACGTTCCAGCTAGAAGTAGCCTAACTTCAGCACTCAATACACTGCTAGCAGTCTCTGCTGCAGCAGAAACTAAATTTAATTCAACCTGACTTCAATCTTCAAATCTGATTGATCTGGAGCAACAACAGTGCAGTCCCAGCTGAGGACCACAACATGTCTTGTAAAAGTTAATGAACTCTTCTGTTACTCTCTTGGTTACAGAGCTGTGCTCTTATTAATGCCTAAGCAAGAAGTATGGCAACATATTCAAGTTAAACAGAACCCGATCCCTTTTAAAGAGTAGTAACTCAAAGGTAATTCCTCTGCAGTCAGTGTAAATTCATGAGTTTGCAAAAAGACAGTAAATCACAGTTGCTATCAAGCATTAGCTGCCTGGGGATTCAGGATCTTGAACACCACAAATAGATTTAGCTGAGTCCTCAGGAGAAACGGTACATGGACCCACTTTAGAAAGATGTTTCCTGAGGCTGATCTAGTTTTTTGTTTTTCTTTTTTTTTTTTTTTTGAGACACAAAACAAAGCTAAACTCTACATGCCACTGCTTTTTGCTGTTGGTAAAGATCTGCCCTGGAGCCAATTACAGGATCCACAGGTACTTCTAATACTTTTAACGTTTTCAATATTTCACGTGCTAACTATGTAAATCAAAGTCCCTTCTCTTCCTAGAAACTGAATTAGGGTTGTAAAATGCACAGTGCTGTCTTTCTCTGCAGCTCTTGTGCAGGCATTAGTCCAGCATGTAAGTACTTTTCAGGGCAGAGGCTGAGCTGACCACGTTTGTTTACTAGCATTATTCCCAATGGCTGTGACTGCATATGAATACTATGAATTTGGATAGGCAATGTTCTCATGCAACATCTGACTTAGGAAAATGAATGGAATGTCATGAATTCTGCCAGTGATCAGAAGACCTATTTTCTTTTTTTACAGTAACTTGTAAATTGCCAGGAGATAGTATTTAGCTTGTTGTTGGGGGGGGGGGGGTGTTGTTGGTTGGTTGGTTTTGGGGTTTTGGGGGCTTTGTGAGGGTTTTTTGCACTGTGACTTTTTTCTTCTTTACAGTATCATATTTTATATTTTTTCTTTTACATTATGGCTGAGCCAATTCACAGTCCTCCTTAGATTCTGTACATTGTGGAGCACATACTTGGAGATAAAGCTGCTACAGCCACATGATTGCATGACAGCAGAGCAGTGTGGCCTTGGGACATCCAAACTGCTTTGTTGCCCTCTGAGATTCAGGTTCACCTCACTGTGCAGTCTCAGTTCCTCTAGATGTTTGAAATTCTCCTTTACCAAACTGTATTCACATTTCCAGAGTCTAAGGGTGAAAAGAGTCCTCTCTCATGCTCAGAGCTGCTCAAATTTGTTCTGTCTGGTAATGGTCACAGAGATGTTGCAAAACCTCAACTGCTTCAATCTGCCTTTGCCAAGACAGCTTTGTGCCAGGAGAACATCAAAATTAATATATCTTGTGGTCTAATTTCAAGAAGATATGGCAGAGAGTGGAGCTTGCATTAAACTCCATTGCTTGAATCAGAATTTTATGCCACAGAAGACAGTATAAGACAAAAAATTCTGGACCATATGAAGCCAAAAACAGCCCTCCCAAGACAGTACTCCACCTTCTTCACCTCAACTCAGCACCAGGGAAACCTTTGAACGGGGAGAACTTATAGTCACTGTGTGTAATGGGGCCTCAGATTTGGCTCAAAGCATTCCAGTGACATTTTACAGAACGGTTTTTACTGCTGTTTATTGCTGAATGAAGCACTGGTTGATGCAGAAGAAAAAGATGAAAGCCCTGGACATTCATTTGGTTTACAACGCTTGTATTTCTTTTTCAAAAGAGCTGCTGGTCATGCTCATACTGTGTAGACTTGCACAGTGTGACTGTAGATAGAGACAGACTGTACTGGAAAGATATCTTCTTCCAGCAAAACAGGGACAAACAAAAAAGGGGATAGAAGAAGAAGTAAAAGCACATCAGGAAAATTCTCTATGGTATGTGCTATGCTTTCTTCAATTTTATAGCCATCAACAAATTTGATGGGTGTATTCCGATATAATCACTTTTTGGAAAAAAAAATAAAGCCAAATTTGCACCAAAGCCAGAAGCACCACAAGCATTTCTTGTCTAATGCCAAGTTAAATATAGAACAACACTTTATTGAATAGTTTCCTTATTCTACAGGACAGAGCTTTACTATAGCTGTTCACAAACTCCCATCTGCCTCAGTATCCACACAGCAGTGTTGCTTAGCTTTCACATACTCCATGAACTTTCTTTAGTTCAGCATAATCTTCATCCTCCACACTTTCTGCCTCTGGTGCTCTTACTCGGCTGCACATCCAAAAAGAAGTTGGTGACCCTGGTTTGTATGTAGCTGCCTTATGACACAGGAGCTGCTTCCTCCTTTCTCTGCATGTGCCCAATGGAATTTGACAGCTCTTCTGCAGTTGTGGCACAATACAGATGCTCTCCTATCTTCATTTCTCCTCTTATCTATGTGCAGCTCTTTTGCACTATGCAAATGTCTCCTAGCTATACACAAATAAACTTGGACTGTTGTCAGTTACAATACTGAGTCATGGACTAATTTTAATGATGCTGAAAAATGTTAATTACAGTATCCCCAGCTTAAATTGTCAGCTTGTTTACCAAATATACTCCTCTTGTGCATGTTCATCAGACGGGTTGAAAAAACACACATAAATGCTCTGTGTGTCAGTGGGGCAGCACAAAACCACTAAGTGTGGGGAGGCAGGAGAATTGCTTCTGCCAGGGTGAAGGGATGGTTAAATGCATGTGATGTGAAGTCTAGGCTGTGAAACAAATGGTGTAGCGGTGGCTTAACCTCCACTGCCGCAGGGACACGTGGCTGAATTCGATAAGTTTTTGGCAGGCAGAAGCTGACCAGGAAGCCATCTCTTTTGTCAGCAGGGGACCTGGCAACGCTGACAGGGTATTTCTGCAGGGCAGGAGTGCAGCCCCTTCTCAGCTACTTAGCAGAAGTGTTTATTGAGTCGAAGACCTGACATAATTCAGTAACTCTGCAGTGCTGGAGCCTGGGGGGAGCAGCAGTTGGATTTTAGACAGTATGTTTTTGAATCAAGCTAGTTATCTCTGTAGTTGTGGCTTTCTGAAACTATCCTTTAAAACCAGCTAAAACGTCACATAAAGGATTGAGCTTCTTGCATTGGGAAACAGATCTGCTGCTTTGTCCTAAAAAAATAATATAAGAAGAGTTATTCCAGTTATTGTTAAATATTGACGGCATAAATTAGATGTCACAGTGAAATTAGATTTGTCCAACATCAGCACCATCACAACGAATGTAAAAAGCCTCAGAGGTTTGTCAGACAACAAAAAAATGAGACACAAAGCAGAAATGCATTGACGGAAATGTCTAAAAAATCTCTGCCACAAAGTTGGAGCTTCTCTAACACAAGCTAGTATTTGGTTTTCCAGGAAACGTACAGAAGCTAAAAAAAAAAAAAAAAAAAAAACCCAACCAAAAACTAATCTGTACATTTCAAAATTTTAAAAAAATGTATTTCAGCTTTTGGCAGAAACCCTATGCTTTCAATGCAAAAAAAGAAGAGATTCATCTCTGGAAAATAAACACTTCTCACATTTTACCACAACCGCTGCTTTTCCACAGAAAAACAGGTTCAATTTAACTTCCACAATACCTTGTGCTTCCTTTCTTTCTCATTTTTTCCTACTTGTCAAGACATTCAAAAAGTCTGGATGCTGTCCCCAGGCTTCAGCTGCAGCTCCTGTTGGGATCAGCAGCAGTGTTGTGAGCTGGGAAGAAACCTGCATCCAGGTTTTGGCAGAGACGGGGCTGCCGTGTCTGAGGTGTCTGCAGGCCAGGGAGCTGAAGGCCTTGTGTCCTACAGCGCTCCCTCCTCCTGCAGTCGCCGGTAGCTTGAGAGTGGAAACGCCTCTGGAGCCAAAACCAGTGCTCACTTCGGAATCACGGAGATTTCAAACCTTGCTGAGGTAAACCAGGATGGTCGAGGGGCTACTGCGAGTAGTGAGGCTGCTCTGAGCCGCCCGAGGGGCTGGTGTTAAGTACAATCTACTGGGAAACCTGCTTTCTGCTCACCCTGTCCTCCTGCGAGAGAGGATTGCTGGAGAAACAGAGTGGGCTGTAATCACAGCAAAAGCCACGGGCAGTGGGCAGCTGCTGACAGTGGCAGGCTGCTCTCGGCATTATCTGTTTTACTGGGGAAAGCTGAGTGTGCTGCTGCTGCTGCTGCTCCCAGTGGGCAGGACAGGAGCTGGAAGGCAAGAACCCCTGAAAGCACTGGTCTCACTCCTTCTGCCAGCTGCTGACAAAGGGGGCCATGAGCCCAGCTCTGGAATGGCAAAGTTGCTCTGCCCACCCATCTGCAGAGGTCTGAGAAGACACTGTGTAGAAGGAGTTACGTAAAGGCTTTTGTACAGCAGTGTGCACAGGTGGTTTCATCTGCAAAACTTCAGCCGCTTCTATCTGCTTCTGCCAGGGGCTTTATGCCAGGAGGGCAGCAAAATGAATCAGACAACTGAATATATCTTGTGGTCTAGTTTTAAGAATATACGGCAGAGAGTGGGGCTTGCATTAAACTCAGCTTCTTGAAGCCAAATTTTATGCTGCAGGAGACAGTATAAGCCAAACAACAATTCTGTACCATATCACCCCAAGAATTTCCTCTCCAGGACAAAAACACAAAGCCACTAATAGCACAAAAAGAGCAAAATCAAAATGCAATGAAGCATGCTGCAGAAGTGCCACCTTTCCCAGGGAAACACACCAGAAGAAAAGGCTGTTCCACACCTCTTTGCCCTCAATCCTT